TGGCATCTCGAGCTGACTGATTAAAGAACTTGTTCTTCCGAGAAAAACATGTCCACCCAACCCAGTTAGGTTAGTGTAGGAAACGTTTCTCCTTTTTGTTTGGTAAAAATGGGGTATTAGGTATTCATATAGCGTATGCGTCGTTTTGGGAATTGCTGCATAAATGTTTTACATAAATGTGGTATTATGGTGAAAGAATTATTATAAGTATGATAGGGTCAGTGAATGTGACTAGTTAAGAACGGTGATGACCAGCTTACTCCATTCACCATTTTTCGGCCTTGTACCATATTTCATGTAAAAAAAGCATAAATAAATATTCTATTGCCAGGAGAACATTTGTCACTCAAGATTAACTTCGTTCAGGATTTTTACCAGTTGCTTGATTGCTGAGACAATTTCAGAGTAGAAGAAAAGAAAAAAAAGATCAGGAAGTCAAAACGAACAAAGTCTATTACTTAATTTAAACCGCAGAAGCAGTAAAATTATTATTGTGATAACGCAGTCACTAAGTAAAAGACAATAGATAAGTTATTGAAACTAGGACGCTTCAGTGCAGATCCTAATTTACTAGGATCTGTTAAGACATTAAAACATTGGATATAAACGTTTAATTCATTTAATGAATTCATTACCAATTGATGTTATTCCAAAGAAACTAAACATTCTGATAAACTACGCCGTGCTAGATGTTTACAACAACATCATAGAAAGCAATAATTAAGAGGATGCCCTAAGGACACTCGGAGAGTTGTACGTCAAATCAAAAAATGAGATATTCGCTCGTCACATTCTCAACAGGTGAAAACAAATGCTTAATAGAAAAACATTAGCAAAGAACTGCAATTACAAAATAATTACGGCTGAAGAGTATAAAACTGAGTCGATTCGAGATGACTTTATTAATGGACTCTGTTCAATCACCATGAAAGAGAGAGAGAGAGGGGGGAGGGAGAGAGAGTGCTTGAATCATGGATCATTGTCTGGACGATGCAATTTTAACCATGCTAGGGCTCTAGATATTGCCTAAAAATCTCCAATCTTTATAATCAGTGTTCCGGAATTACCTACAGTGCTACATCAAAATACTCTTGGGGCATTCTTCACAGACATCATTAATCTCCGTTGAAGTGACTACGTCTACTACTGCAAAACCAAAATAGACCTGCTAGCTTTGTGGAAATATTGCCATTGAAGAAGTTGGTGTCTAGCCAGAGATGTTGAGTGTTATAAATGCATGAAGGCCATTTTATAAAACTGTGTAAGTTTTCTACATCGGCTACAGTTCCAGGTACTGGTAATAATAAAGCTTCTTTTCTTGTGACAATACACAATAGTACTCTGTCTATTAACAATGATTAATTAATTGTTAATTATACTTATACAACTAATGCCTTGATAGCACAGAATAGTTTTATTAGTGCAAAACTTGTAAAATTATTGAGGATTAAAGTCCCATCAAATGATGTCATAGGCATGGCATTGCTTGCGATGAAATCAGTAGGATATTGTTTTGCTTCATTGACATTACAAAAAAGAGAAGTACCAAAGCGTTAAATTAACTGCATTAGAAAATCTGTGTACCGATATCATACTCGGAATAGAAGGTGCATGAATACATTACCATCAGCTAGGTACCTTAAAAACAATAAGTGATACCTAAGGTTTTAAATGCATCTTAAAAATGAAAAAACTTTCTTGAACATTTTATTTTAGTTGTAATTTCATTTTAATATTTCCAATAATCAAAATAATTTGCAGTATTTTTGCATAATCAATAAAATCGCTAAAATCATGCATATCGACAAATCTGTCGATGTAGCATAATTCGCTTTAAGAATTGATTTAAAAATAAAATATACTTTTCTGAAACTTCGAGAATGATTAAGTGAGTTAAAGTTTAAATTATCTGAATTAAAATGAGTATTGCTTTTAGTTTAGAATATAGCAGAAAAGCATTTTTTAACACAGGTGGGTGTTTTCATGAGGTGTTGTTACATCTATCGATAACTTAATTTTTGCAAGATTTATGTAAGAGGGAAATAATTGTAATAAAATTACATGACGAATACAAGGTAAATGTCTTTTTTTTAGATATTTCTAACTATCCAGATTAAAAATTAAAATATTTTAAACATTTTAATATTTTATTGAATTTTAGTACTTTGGCTTTATAGACTTACTTACGAAGACGCTTGTAGAAGAAATGTTAGAAAATTACAATAAATTTTAAATTCACTATCGTTACTGCTCCTATTTTCTGATAATGTTGTGTATGGATGCCCCTATTTACAAAAACCGGCACATTTATATACAAAAGCATTCAAAATTTTAAAATACTGGAGGTCACTGGATTGTAAACTTTTCCATTGATGATTAGTAAATATAGTTTTTATTTAATAACACTATAACTTGATCACTACAAATTAATACTGAAAAATTAAGTTTATAAATTATTAGAATTAAAATTTAAAAAAAATGAAAACGATTCTTGTAAAAATTTATTGTTCATTGAAATTTTTTCCCTTAAGGCGATAGTATCCATAATTTTATTCATAAACGCAATTAAAACGCATTTTTAATTAAATAATGTCTTAGCTTTATTGCATTTTTTTATTTTAAACAGGAGCTTGTCAAGAAATTTGATATAAATTCTCCTTAAAACTAATATAACCATTAAATGCAACAAAAAAGAATCGAAATTTCATAAAATTAAATAAGTGTCGGGTAGCAAATAAAAAAGAAAATTACTAAGATTTTCTAAAAAAGAAAAGATTAAAAAATAATTTAATTTGTGAATATGTCCTGAAAGTTTCTTTAAATTTGACAATTATCAGATTTTTGCAAGAATTTCCAAATTAATGTTTTTCTTTTACCACAAAAATACTCTCAAATTTCAAAGGTTCTAAAAAGTATAAAAAATTACATAAAATATCCTTTGGTCTTTCCTCTTAATAATAATAACAAAGATTTTATTAAGTTTGGGGCAGTTTTTCATCGTGTATACTCAATTTTTACCGAATCTTTGGAGGTACCAAGCATCGGCTATGGAGGTAAAAGGCCAGTTCTTACCTCCAGTGCCTTGACAACCTAAAAACAGGAGCACCAAGGTTATTTGGACATTTGACCAAAGACTGTAAGTTAAGAAAACATGCAAATATACACAAAGTAGCAAAGAGAATATAAAACGCGAAGTAGCACACCTTCTTAATAGAGCCAAGTAATTCACCATGTCGATCACAAGTACTTGTAAAGAATAAAGGCAAATGTCATATGATGGTTTCTTATTCACAGACACTTAACAAGTACACAGTACTTTATACTTACACACCACCCAAAATAGATGAAATAGCTAATAAAATCATGCAATACAAAGTTTATAGTACTATTGACTTCTTTGTGCATATTATCAACTTTCTTTGTTTAAAGTAGATCATTCCTATACAGTGTTTGAAGATAACTGAATACTTTATCAATTTATGAATTTATTCAGAAATATAAACTGCCTGACTGTTTTGCATATCTTGATAATATTGTTGCCTAGCCGCCTGGCAGGGATGGTCTCATCTCATCTTCTCTGGCGATCGCTAGTTGTTTTAGTTCTGCAATAAAAAGTCACCAACACAGAGAATTTTAACTTATTATTTTAAGAGAACACATCTACATTGCTTGACGGTCAAGAAACAACACACTAAATAACTGTTCTCTATCTATTATTCCCACACTATCTCAACCAGTCAAAATCAACTTCGTTATTTTGGCTTGCATCTGACCTCGAAGGTCAACCTCCGGCTGGGATACAATCCCCCTAAAAATAATAGTCTGCTAAACTATAATTTAACAATGTTACAATTTGTGGTAACAATGTAGAAGAGCACAACAAAAATTCAAATCTCTTCTTTGAAGGTGCTGCAAATAACTACAGTAACTACAAATGTCTTTTCAGTTTTATCAATAGACTTGTTAGACTATCGTATGTCACATGGGTTGCTAAGTCAAGGTCCTGAATGTCTCAGCCTCTTTTTGATTTGCCTGCTCCTACTGATAAAAGGTACTTGAAATGGGTTGTGTTCACATATTATGCCAAACAGATACCCAAATTTTCTAATGAAATATGCACATGTTCATCTTCCACATGGCAGAGAAACAATGGTCAAGACTAAACAACTTGCACTTTCAAAAAATCTAACTGCTCGGTAACCAACTTCAGAAACCAGTATGGATAAAATGAATCAGCCTCCTAACAATAAACAGAGAAATTATTGGTGATCATGATCATCCTATAACACCTCCATGTGTTGAACAAATTCCTATTTGAAGATCAGAAGGAGTCCACAAGTACCAATGATATTGGACTTATAATTAATCATATGATCAAGGAATGGGTTTACATTGGATCAATTAAGTGTGAGGTGAATGTAATGAAATGAAAGCTGAAGTTAAAAACATGGACTTATTTGTGGGTGGGGGGTTGCTTCATTATGCGATTATAATTGTCATAGTCATTTTGGTGCTTGTTTCAAGCTATTAAATGCAGGTGCAATTGTATAGAATTTGGTTAAATATGAGTGACTTTGAACCAGTAAATTTATTATTGTGGCATTATTGTGTTTGCTATCTGACTGAAATCAGTAACAATGGAGAAAAACTAAAATGCATTATCTACATTTATAACATGCCTGTATAAATATTTAGGTATAAATATTTAGGTATAAATAATTTTTAAATTTAAAGACTATATTATATTTGAGAGATGACAATATTTGCCATTTTACATCACTTTTAGATTGTATTTTAATTTTTTAATTTGGGATTTAATGTGAATATGACGAATATTATGAAAAACTCTTGATGAGTGCCAAAATCTCTAGAAATATATCTGATCTCATTTGGCATTGTTGCAATTTTATGGCTAGTAATAAATTAAATGAAAATAAGTAACATTTTAACAAGAATTTCATAAGTAACATTTTAATAAGAATTTTTTGTTTTTATTTTAGCCATGGCATTGCTTTCAATGCTGCAAAATATGGAATGGGGTCTGGCGATATTTGGCTTGATGAGGTCAACTGTACAGGGTCAGAGAATTCCATTGCTGATTGTCCCAAAAATTCCTGGGGAGTTCATGATTGTCACCATGGAGAAGATGCTGGAGTTGACTGCAGTACAAATGAAAGTAAGCCTGAAGATTTCAATTATAAAATGAAATTGGAAAACAAACTTTAAATTTATTTTGTACACACACATACACACACATACGCACACACACACACACATATATATATATATATATATATATATATATATATATATATATATATATATATATCCCTCAGGTCGAGATGAGTGGGGCTACCGTTAAGCCCTGCATGCTCTAACTGACTTAGCCACAAAGAGCAGATTTGTCCCTTCAAGTGAAATTTTTTTTCATAGATCTCTCGAAATCTTTCATATCTGCACAGTTTTGTTTCCAAGTGTAAACAAAGAGAATTTTAGAATGGAAACCTTTTTATTAATCCGACAGATTTTTATCACTTTAAAAGTTATTTTTAGAGGAGACTTGGATTTGAGTAGGTGCTCTGTTTATTTATTAAATAGTATATTTATTTATTTTCATCTGTCAGCCTGATATTGCTGTGACAATTGCTAAAAAATCTGGGTCCATCATAGGCTAAAAAAGCTCTACATAACATAGGGATCTTCTCTTGTGCTTTCTGAAATTTTCATTTGTAGCAAGTCATTTAAATGATAAATTATATAAACCGATCAATAAATAAGGAAAGAATAAACGAATAAAATTACCATCATATACATATGAGACAATTTTTTTTTTAAGCGTTTCACCCCAAGCAAGGCGAGAAGCCACTAGGACGCAAGGGGTTACAGAAGATTTGGAGCAAGATCAGATAGGAGTGATAGAGGGAAAGGATGAGGAGAAGGATAGTGGATAGATCAAGGCAACTGGAGATGTCGATTGACATTACATTTGAATAGTTGGAGATTTCTACTTATCAGGGAAACTGGAATAGGGAAGGGAGTTCCACAGGCGAGAGGTGTGATACATTAAGCTATTGGAGTAGAAGAGACGGCTACATTTAGGAGTTTCGACAGTGAAAGGGTGAGAGTGTGACGGACGCCAGCCTCATAGGGCACTTGAACGCATGAAGTCTGGGAACCAGCGAATGCAGCTCCTCGGAGCAATTGCCATGAAATTATTTGTAAAAAAGACAGAGAGAGGTGACGGCGCATCTGTGAGAAAGTAGCTGTAGACGAGATGCCAGGACAGGGCCAATTATATTGCATATCCACCTCTGGAGCATATCAAGAACCCCGAGGCAAACAGAAGGGGCTCCAGACCATATATGGCAGCAATACTCCATGCAAGGGCAAATTTTTGATTTGTAGATCTAGAGGATCGATTCCGGGGAGAAAAATTTCCTGGCGCAGCACAGGGAGCCAACTTTCCTAGTGGTGGATGAAGCAATTGACTCAATGTATTTGTTCCATCTCAGGTCAGCAGTCAACGTGAGACCGAGCAGCCGCAGAGAGGGGCTCTTGAGAAGTTGAGCATCAGACATTCTAATGGAGAGCATGTTTTTATTAACAATAAAATTTTCAAGCTTTAGCAAACTTTTTGTGAGGTTAATGATTTAAAAATTTCTCATTGCAACCTACTTCCCTAAATCTAACCAAATCACCTAATATCAAAATTTATTTTTGAATCTCATCTTGGTCATTTACAAGTTTCATATTGTATTGACTGCAGTGACTAGAGAGGGAGAATTGTTTTGGTTCTGCCTTTTTTAACTTATAGAGTCATCGCTTCATCTCTTCTAAATGTTTTTTATTATTAAATTTTAAATTTATTTGCAAACATTGCTATAATTTCCAAATTTTAGAAGTGGTAGTTTTTATTGTTATGTTATGTTAAAATCATTATTTTTAATTTTTACTTGCTTAAATGGTACTGAAGGCAAATATTAAGCTCAATGTCACCTCACTTTTTAGAGAACTTAGATTTTAAATAAATATTTATTTATTTAAAATCATTAGAATTAACTACACTGTAATTAGCCAAGCACCAATTAGATTACAATTTTAAGATAGCTTTAATTATAATTCTACTAATCCCTCATTTGAAGTTGATTGTTAAGTGATTTTTGAATGAACATACTTAAAATTTTAAAAAATATTGTTTTTTGGAGTAAAGTGTAGAAATTTTCATGATAGAAAAGGAAAAGAAAATGAAATGAAAAGAGTAAACAGTTTCTTCTCTCACAATTCTCACTTGTTGAACTCTCTTCATGCTTTCTAGTCAACTTTGATCTTCAAAAATTTATATGTAATGTCAATTGTTATCTACTGTTTTCTTGATGCCTCTTTTATTCTTCTTTCTTCTTAATAATGCCCCTCTTTCTTGTTTTTTTTCCACTCAGTAACTAGTAGTGTCTTAGTGGCTTTACTTACCCATAAGCACAAATTAGATTGTTATAATATAGGTTGTGTTATTAATCATTATTATTTATATATTAATGTTATATGATTATTATTGTTGTTGTTGTTTTCATTGTCCTCATCCTGATACTTTAAGTATAGTTTTATATAGTAACTTCATGTTACTTAATATTGCTATATCAATAACCAAAATATAACAGCAATGTATTTGAAACTGCATTTTAATCAAGTTTTATTTCTTATTTTTTTCTAAAATATTTTCTGATGTAGTTCCTGTAAGAATTCGTCTTGTGGGAGGTGAGAATGCATCTTCAGGTCGAGTTGAATTAAATTTAAATGGAGAATGGGGTACGATTTGTGATGATGGATGGGATAATAATGATGCTCTTGTGATCTGCCGGATGCTTGGTTATGTGTAAGTATTCATGTAAACTTCTCTGTTATCATTCATATTAGCTTTTTATTTCTGTGAAGGAAATCCCAGTTATTGTCCATTCAGGTTTTGACCCTGAAGTGGAAATGGTTCCTTTTATTTGAGAACTAAAAAAAAAATGTGGAGTTTGTACATTTTTATATTTGGTAAAATTGCTACAAGTATCATTCTCTTTTATTACAAAGATTTTGTTACTCCATTTTCTTCTGATAAATATGATTTTTAGTGAGTAGTCTTAAATACTTATTCAAGTGAAAGCAACAAAATTAAGAATACTAATGTGAATCAAGTAACACATGATGATGCTTTATATCAGAACTCTAGACAAGTTTGAGTCACTTTTTATCTTAAAAATATGAATGTATATTCTAAGACATTTTTCATAATAATTGTTTAACAACAAAACTTTGTAGAAATTCAGGGTTTTAAAATGCTGTTATATTTGTGTCCATAAGTATTAAAGCCACAAATGATCAAGGCAACATTAAATAGAAAATAGATTCATTAAATGGGAGAAACAACTTCATTAAGGATGCAGGGAGGTGTGTGTGTGTGTGTGTGTGTGTGTGTGTGTGTGTGTGTGTGTGTGTGTGTGTGTGTGTGTGTGTGTGTGATTATTAATTATGTATTTATACAGAAGGTATCACAGGAAGATTTGGTTTGTATGAAAATGGGCTCCACAATTTGATCATCATTATAATGAAGACACATTGAAAACCTAGAAATCAGGAACATGTTAAAAGTTATTGACATACATAATATATACAAATATCATATGTGCCATGTCTCTTCAGGATGTGTACATTCATGACACAACTTCCTATCCTTTGTAGGTCTTTTATGGTTTGTCTTTTTGTTATCCCTTCCCATGCTTGTTCTGCTATCAATTTACACAAACTCATTAGGTAGGCTACTCATTGTTTTCCTCTGTTTACACTTGTCTTCAGTATGCTTGTGAGTGCCCAATTCTCAGAACCTTCTTTTCTCATTATGTGTCTGAGAAATTCAAGTGACTTTCTGATTCTAAGTGTAAGTGTCCTTTTCCTTGTTACTCACATGTTCAGAATCCTTCTGTAGAACCACATTTTTGTTGCTTCAAGTCTCTTCTTCATCTGTGAGGAAACTGTCCAACATTCACTGCTCTAGAGGAAGACTGATATTACATAACAGTTTAGTACTCTTTTATTTTTGACAAATTCTTCCTGTTTCTTAATATGCTGCAGAGCTTTTGAAAGGTATTTTTTATTATTCCAATGCATGTTCAATTTTCATTGACACATTTTTCACTTTGTTAAAACACATAATATAAGCACTATGCTTATCAGTTGCTATGCACACACAATGAACAACACTATGCAAGAAAGATGACTTCTACAACAACCTCCATAATGTTATCTCGCATGTCCAACATAGGGATAAAATTATCCTAATGGTGGACTTCAATGCTCGGGTGGGTAACAATCACCAGATCTGGGATGGTGTGCTGAGTCATCATGGTGTTGGATTCATGGCCTCCAATGACCTGTGCCTCCTTTCTGTTTGCAGAGAATTCAATCTTGTAATCACCAACACCTCATTTCAGCAAGTGAACTGCCACAAGACGTCATGGATGCATCCTTGATCGATAGCTTAGCACCTTATTGACTATGTCATCACCAGGGTCATCAATATCACACGCTTTTTCATAGCACCTGTTGCCTTTCTGATCATGTCAGAAAGGCAACAGTAAGGCTTTGCAGTAAACCTTTGCAGTAATGCTTCCTTTCGCATTGCTCACATGAAACAGAAGAAGACAACTGTGTCAAAGTGGATGAATACCTTTGCTGTAAAATCACCAGAAAAGCAAGGGCCTAATATATAGCCAAGCTTGACAGAGGACTTGGATTGTTGGACTGCTGTGGCTGAGGTATAAAGATAAGCTAAACCTCTCAGCTGTGAATGTCTGTCAATATATGTGCCAGAGTGGTATCTGGTGAGTGGTAATTTTTTAAATCAGTCCTATTGGCTGGCAAAGACAATGATGAAAAGCATCAGCAAATATTCCTGTTGCTATGTCAAGAGACCCTCACTTTTACAGAATATGTGAACTTGTATGCAGGTAACTAGCAGGAC